CATGTATTTTTGAAAAAAAAAGTTAAAATTTTTAAAAACACATTTACATTTAAGGAAACAAATTCACATTTTAAATAAGTTAGATTTTAGGTGAGAGAAATTTTCATTTTAGAGAAAAAAAAATACATTATAGGGAAACAAATTTACATCTAAAAAAAAAATTGACCGTTCGGAAACACTTGTACAAGTGCAAAGACAAAACTGCAAGCGGCAAAACACAGTTACATAGCCAAAAACAAATTAACAAAAGACGGCTACACGGAAAGGGAATGTCCCAGTGGCCGGATGTGACGTCACGATTACCCTGGCTTGTAGTACAAACAGCTCAATCTGTAGTATTATTTAAAATGTGAATTTGTTTCCTAAAATATAAATTTGTTTGCTAAAATGTAAATTTGTTTTTAAAAATTTTTACTTTTTTTTTTTCAAAAATACATTTCATAAAATATAATTTTGTTTCTTCAAATGTTATTTTGTTTTTTATTTGTTAATGTGTTTTTGAATTGTAAATGTGTTTTGCACTTCTCAGCCACCGTAGGAAAGTCATAATTTTAAGAGAAAAAAATATAAATAAAATGTTTTTGTTTTGGTTTTTGAATGTTTAAAGCGTGAGAGGTCAAAAGTTGTTTCAACATGTAAATGACCATACAAATGCACCTCCTTAGAACAAAGCTGGGCCTCAGTTACTTTTATCCATTTCTTATCTTTAACTTTTCTTGGTGGCCGTTTTGCATTCTACAAATGGAAAAATATTAACATTGGGTAGAATACAGTGAAAAAAAGCTCAAACATTTCTCACTGCAGTCTCATAGATCAGTAAAACAAGCTTGAAATATCTATTCAAGTTCAGCAAATAGAATAGAAAATCCCTTCATTGTCCCACAATGGGGAAACAGAAAAATGTATAAGAATAACATAATTGTGAAGAGTTAAAAGATAATAAGATACTGTACTGTAAAGTGTTTTAACAATATAAAACTGCGCCTGGAGAATAAATAACCAATATAGAGCTATGAATATTTTAACATTAATGAATATTTAAAAGTAAGATAGAAACTGTGCAATGTGAGCATGAATGTAACAACTTATTGAGGTTGTTGGGAACAGTGGTGGTTATAGAGTCTTACAGCTGCTGGGAGGAAGGATCTGTGATAACGCTCCCTGGTGCATTTAGGGTGCAGCAGTCTGTCACTGAAGGAGCTCTCCAGTTCTGCAACAGCTTCATGCATGGGGTGGGAGACATTATCCAACAGAGATGTTAATTTAGTTTAGAAATGAGAGAAAGTGTGAGTTATTTCTGAGTTAATGTGTACTATCAGCTGGAGAGAACTAGTTCTGGATGGGGTAAGTATGTCAGGAGGATTGTCAGATTTTATGAAATTTGAAAAAGCAAACAGCAAAAAATATACTATTGTAAAATATAAATTTACAAAACTGCATCTCAGACAGATGTATGATGACAAGAGAATTTCACAGAAAAGATTTTCAAATTCATGGTCCTAGACAGATTTAAACTGATGGATTTGATTAGAATATACAATTAAAGAAGTATTTGCATGTAAAATAATAGGCAGTGATTTGTTAACACTGGGGTTTATCAAATAAAATGATTGACGTTACTGGATATAGCCACAAGGGGTCAGTATTAGGTCTCAAACCTCCCATGAGAATTAGGATCAGATTTTGCACACAGTCATGAAATATCACCGTGGTTACACTTTACCTTAAATGGGAATATTTTATATTAACATATAAGAAAGGAAATATCAATTATAGTGTTTTGTGAATGTGTTTTTGGCTTCTAATTGGAGATAATCCACAGTAAACACAGGTCTATAGAAGATGGTAAGAGGAGGCATTGTTGGATTACTTTTTTCATGAAGTCCAGGCTAATCTCCACTATCTTCAGTGACTTAAACTCTACGTGGGTATTATCACACCCACAGACCCCCATATCCCACCTTACCCCTTCCCCAACCTGTCAGACCAGTGACAGTGGTGCAATCTGCACGAGCTTTAGATATATCTGCTACCTGCAGTAATTTGTCTACAGAGAAAAGAGGCCTGTTGGGTCTTGCGTGAAGGAAGTATAAATAAAGGATGCAATCAATTTAAGTTTACTGTTTAAGAAATATAAAGTGTCTCATTATTTGTTAGTATTATTTCATATATGTGTATGTCCTCACTGTATAAAGATCCAGCTGTATAAAGGCAGTCAGTAAATAAAAGTTTTTTTTTTCTTTCTAAGGCTCCAGATTAGTTCACCATCTTGAAGTTGAGCCTTTATGCTATTTATAAACTGAATAATAAAGAAGGCCAATCCCCACTACTATGTTAACCACTTCTTGTATTCAACAAGCAAACATGTTCTTTCTTCAGTGCAGACAGAGCATCTGCATAGCATTGCATGATTTTAATTAAATGTATTGTTTGGTCAGTACGAACATCATAAACTGGATGTCCAGAGAGATTAATGTAAACAAAAACTTTCCTTTTTTCCCTTCTCTCCACATGTCCTCTGAGTGAGCATCCTGTTAATGTTTTTGCTTATGGTCTGCATTGACATTTGCTGAGTTTAAATTCAGGGGCTGTGTCCTCTGAAGGTCAGATTCGTTGGCCGATTACGTCATAGCGCTGCGCCGAGGTCTGTTCGGATTGGAAGACTCCTCGTTATGCGGCCGACAAATGCAACCTTCTTTTTGCCCGTTTTGAGGGACGGGTCCGGTTTATCCTATGTAGCCTTGGATATCCCGTGATACATTGCGAGTCCAAGCAAGCGGGCTGCTCCGTGCTCAGAGAAAAAAGGTACTTGGCGCCTAACAGTGCTGAATATTGTAAGTGTATTGTATTATAATACAAGTATGTAAATAGTCCCGTCTGAAATTAATGAAAATAGTTTTTTAAATGAGTCAGATATGTTACGCATTTGGTGTATTGAAAGGTTTTTATCTGTCACTGTGTAAATGGGTGTGGTTGTCATTGAAGGACATATTCTAATATCTGCATTGTGGGGACTATAAATCTGATAAGGTACTGGTGTTAAAGCTCCTCGAAAATGTTAAATAAATACATAAATAAAAAGAAACAGCAGTGAGAAGTTCGGTATTCATTCTTTTCCTGCTTTTTGTGTCAACTCTCATGGTTGCTAGGCGACAGAGGGAACGTCAGTGAAAGGCAAGGAAGGCTGGACCTGTTTGAAATCACAGCCAAAACTCTTGCAGTCTCCTTATTTTCGCCGGACCTCAAAGGATCCAGTTCAGATAGACCGGGTCCTCGAAGGATGCAGCCTTTGAAATCGAACACACCCACTAATTTGTAATAATGTCTGATCTCATAGTAGTTGATGATCGTCTCCCCCTAGTGGTCTGGCATATTTTCATTGGGTAAAACTAATTTGCAGCTTTACTTTTTAATTGCAGCTGTTTTTGTGACTTGCTGAGTTTTACCTTTATGTGTGTTTATTGTGTCTTTATGTTAGCCTCTGTTTTGTGTTTGCTAGTCTGCGGATTTTGTTTGTAAGCCTCATTTTTGTCTTTTCTTTTTTTTTTAATGCTGCGCATTGGCACCTCTCAGCCATGAACAAATTTCTAAGTAAAATTAATTATGGTGAAACTTATTTCATGCTAAAATGTACATTTTTTCTATGTCAGTTTAAGAAGATTATCCTGTGCTTTACTTTGGGTGTAAAACTTTTAATATAATTGTGGAAACTAGGTCCATACAGAAACGTTATTCAACTTAAGAAAAAAAAAGGAAATGTTTGCCAAGCCTTTGCAAAATTCTTTTTCTCTCTGTCTTCCAGGAGGGGGGAGAAACTGTGGTGCTCATGAGCTCATCTGTGCTAGACGAGGTAAATCCTTGTCTTCAGAAATCTGTATTACTTTCTACAAGCCTTACCTGTCCTTCATGTATGCCTCGTTTTACTGAAAATAAATGTATACTGCCTTTACAGTCCTTGTAACACAGTGTTTTTGTGAATTATGTATGCTGTATCAAGTTTAGTGTGCCTCAGCGAAATAAGGCAGCTATGTGCATGATTTATTTAGCAAGTAGGTTTGGTTTCATTCTAGGGGTCCATATGCAAGTAAGGCTTCCATATTGGTTCATTTTAAACAACCACACTCCTTTAAGTATATCATTCTTTGCTCCTAAAGCTTAAAACCATTACATTTTCCTCTAAATGTATGGATATCCGACAGATTCATTTATTTCCTTCGTTTTTGTTGAGACAAGCTCACATTTCTCTGAGGGCTTATTTCATTTCAGAATGCTTCAGTGGCTGCGTTTTTAGGTTTGTTAGACAGCTTGGAGGAGTCATTAGCTGGAAAAGAAAGTTGATTGGGTCCTGCAGTGCAAACTCAGAGTCCCGACTTCAACCTAAGTTTTTTTTTTAAGGTTTGCTTTATCAGCTCTAAATAACAAAGACACAGGAATAAAAATGGAGAAGGATTGGCAAGCATGTTCATCACCTCTGCTGGTGAAGAAATGTTGGGGATCATATAAACGCCTCTGCTTTCAAGTGTACATTGATGAAGGCATCAGGTTACCCTCAGGGCTTTGAATTATTCAGCTGCTGTTAAAATTTACAGAGCAGAGTGATCTATGAAGCGTCCTCAAATCCCTTCAGAGAGCAGCGCCACGAGCTTGTAGTTTTTATATGAACACCACTGCAGAGGTCATCTGGGCTCAATCAGCAGTGAGAGTTGACATTTAAATCTGAAAACCATTGGATCGGATTTAGTGTGGGATTAATTACGTTTTGTTCTTTTTTTTTTCCAGAGCTCAATAGCTTTATGTTTTTATCCTCTATTGTCATTTTTTAATATATATATATGTGGATTATAAAACTTGTTTGATTATACAAAAGGTAAGACAGCTTGATTTATTCTCTGTTTTGCCATTTTTGAGGACTGAGCATTGATGTAATACTACTTCATAAAGCTGCAACAGGTTTTTTTCCTGTTTTAATGCTAAGGCAAATCTGTCCATACCAACTTCAATGGACTTTCTATCTATCGATCTAACTTGTGTGCTCATGAATTATCTCTGTAACTTATTATTAATCAGCATCATTGGGACCTAAAGCATTGAAATGCTTTTATATCAAATGTGATATGTTTTCAGGCGTTTGAATTAAAGTTAATAAATAAAGTAATATTTATCAATACAATTTAATTGAACATTTAATTGAATTATTTTTCTTTGTTTTAAATAAAATCTAGTAAAATACTTTCTTGTGTGGCTTTGGACACAGAAAACTTGTGCTTGGAGCAATTTTGCATTAATCTTCCCATTAAAAACTACGGTAATGCTGTTCTGACAGAGCTAATCATATTAGCAGTGGTGGACGAAGTACTCAACAGTAGAATTTGAGTAAAAGTATTGATACCTATAGTCATATCTTACTCAACTACAATTAAAATTTCTCAGTCAATAATCTACTCAAGTTAAAGTATTGAAGTATTCACTTTTGAAAATACATAAGTATTCAAAATTACATGCATTTAAAAGTACTTAAGTATTGAAAATACAATCAAATGTTCTAATACCGGTACATTTCTGTATAATTTTCAGAGTAATTTTAAAAACCTTGTAACTTTCAGAAACGACCTGATGTACTGACGTATACAAAAACCTGCTACCAATTCTACAACACCTATAAAAATTTCAGCATAAAAATGCCACACAAAAAAATAAGAAAGGGTATTTTTATTATTATTATTTCTTCTTCAAAAATAACTCAAAAAGAAAACAGGAGAGTCTTGATTCTCCTCACATTTTCACCAAGAAAAAATGAAAATGCAAATCAGCTTTGAGAACTCATCCTACCGAATGGACTTGGCCACAAGGCAACAACTAATGCCTTAATAAATTGTATAAACTGCAAATATTGCCTGCCCTGAATTTCTCACATTTGTGGAATGTCATGCAAACTTTTAAAACAGTGGTGTCCAAATTCAGTTCTAAGGTCTGCTATCCTGCATGTTGGAAAAAAAAAAACTTAAGTATAGTAATCAAGTAAATGTACTTTTTACTTTCCACCACTGCATATTAATTCAATTCAATTTAAATTCAGCTTATTTATATAGCGCCAATTCACAACACTTTACAGTTCAACGAGATCATACAGTCAAATTGATTAAAAGTTTTCTATCTAAGGAAAACCAGTTGATTGCATTGACTCATTGACTCAAACACAATCCCTCACACTAAGCATGCTTTTAGCGACAGTGGAGAGGAAAATTTGTGATATTCAAAATGTCAGTTACTAGTTCATTACTATTTTTTAATATCTTATGGGTTCTAAGATTATTTTGTTTAGTTCCCTCGTTTTTATCCTTTCATTTTTTGTACAGCCTCAAATCTTTATTTTCTCCCTTTTCTCTTAACTGACACAAGGAATCCTCTTATTAGGGAGGTATACCTTTATAGTGTTCAACCATGCATTTATCAGTGTGGCACATCCTTTCTAATTAAAGTGATATTCTGAGTTGCCTCTTGTCTTTCTGACAAGAAGCAGCTTAGAGAACTGTTGTTTAACTTTTAGATTAATATTTTTTCTAACAATATAACTGTTCTCTAGCCTTAAAAATATTTATGCGTCATATTAAGACCTCCACAATTTTTGTTCAGAGTCAATTTAGAATTGGAATCAGTGGAGATTTTTATTACTAAGATTAGTAATAAGGAACCCGGGAAAGTTTCTCCAGGAAAGAAAAGAGGCAAAAACAGAGGAAAGTTATTGACATTAATCTAACATCTAAAAAATATCAATATAAAACTCACTACAAAGGTTTCTGCCACGAAAAATGCCATAACGTATTGATAGCTGGCTGAAACTAAACAATTTGAACATTTAAAGAGATATGGCTTTGAGGTAGTGGGTATTTTCCACAGTGAGCATTCCACCAAGCGTAATGTGTCACATTTTCCACTCATATTGGGAAATATGAAACATATCATACTGCTTTCCATATTGATATTAAATTCTGTCAGCTGTTAGCTTTATGTGATGGTCACACACATGCATAATGTTTGTCATATTGGGACAAAAAGCCTCCTGAAAAATTAATACAAAAAAATGCATTTAACGAAATCTAGGCTAAAACTCTCCATATTAAAACCCAACCCGTAAAAAGGTGTGTACATTTGCATGTGTCACACAGAGTACATGTGAAGAAATAATGTTTTTTTGTTAAATTGTGCTGTGCTTATATAATTGCAAAGGATTATGGATCAGTGGCGGTTCTAGACCAAATGTACCAGGGGGGCCAGGAGGGGGCCAGCGTGTTTTCATGTGGCACAGAAAAGCATGAAATAAAAAACAGGATAGCTGCATAAGGTGATACTTCTATTCAATTAAGTTTAATTAAAATTCTAAATGTCTTTTTAGGTGAATATACATTCAGAATTTTGGAATTGTACATATTTATGACTTAATTTAAGTTGAAATTACAGTTTTCTATAAAATCTGAATTAGAATTGAAGAAAAACTGTTAAATTCAGCTGTAAAAAAATTTAGCATGTTATTAATTTGTTTTCAAAAAAACATTTAGCAGATGAAAACTGGGATCATATCTCAATACCACTGAAGCCATCACCTTATTGTTTTTTTTAAATAGTTCATAAAATACAATTTGTAAAGAAAAAAATGAAATAGATCCAAAGGACCTTTCAGTAACCATGCTTGTTGCAGGGCATATCATCTTTAGAGTTTCTTTGAGTATTATGTTTTCAGTACAGGGGCCATAACACGGGCCAGGACATTATCTACAGGGGTCCTGGCCCGTATGGATTATAAGTACTTAATAGGAATATTGGGAGATTCCTATTCTAAATAAACTATTGATAGGAAGCATTCGGCTTTCTTTTCTTACCTCTCTCCTTACTATCAGCATTTATTCAGACAGCACTTATTATGGTGACCACTGACGCATTTCCGCTTTGGCTTAAGAGTCCTAACTGATTTGCTGTATTTTGACTGAGTTCATCTACAGTATATAACTATAGGTTAAAGATAGGCTTGTATAACTTAAATAATTTTCCTGAACAGCTACTAGCTGTTCAGCAAGATAAGCAGCAGCTGTAACTATGTGGCATTGTGCAGATTGTTATCTAAAGTGTATTATATATTATTTGATAAATACTATATGTTACAGCCTATTCCATTTTTAAAGATTTCATTCTTTGTTTGAATGAGTTAACCAAGCAGAACTGCCACATGATCAGTACTAGACCGAACATCCTGTTGCAAATGGATATTTTTATGCCTGAAAACTACTGAAAAGCAATCAATTAAACAATATATTACAGGAAACGGTTTACTGAGTCAGAAAAGAGAATTAAAAACAATGCAACAGCCAATAAATGGGAACTAAGGAGGGAAACCTGTACTGCAGACACTTTGCTGTCAGTCACAGAAAAATTTAGAGCAATAAAGCTTTTGTAGCAAAGAAAATTGTGTAACACAATGGTGTAAGTACACTACTGCATTTTGGCTCCAAGGACTTTGTCTATTCCTCCTTTACTGTAGTCTTATATTCGCAGGGTTAAAAATCACTAAGTCCATGCCCTGCAATGCTCTGCTGATTTGTTAAAATGGGCATGAGTTTAAGCTTTAACATAGCTAAATAGAAAAATCTCAAACATATTTCTTTTTTATCAACTTTATTTCTTTACCTGCTGCTCTTTAATTTAATAATTAAACAGATCATCTGCCTTCAGCTAATCTGTCTGTGAGGCAGTGTCCTAAATGATGGACCAATCTGGCTTTTCAGGCATTACTGAATCTACTTTTCTGTTAGATACTGCTCCTTTGAGGCTCTAGTAAAAATAGCACAGGACTGCCTGCTTGGTTACATGAAGTGTGGATGGCCTACATACACCACCACAGCTTATATCTGCTCATGAAGTAAGAGGAAACTAATAGAAGATAATGTTTTGCCCTTTTAACAGTGAATAATTAGGTTTGAATTCAGTTTGAGATGTCTTATTTTTTTTACAGTAAATATACTTGTTCAGTTTAATATATTTTACCTGCAAACACTAATGTTCAGATTGCAGCAATGTGATGCAGTGATGTGTGTGTATGTGTGTGTGTGTTATTGCTGCTCAGCTCTAGAAAAAAGTGGTTCAAAACTTTTACAGCAGTGACAGTTTTCTAATTTTTGGTTTTCTTGTCTCTTTTTTCCTTTTCTGTTTTCCTCTTTCTTTCCCCCCACCTGCTCTCCCCTCACCTCAGTTTCTCCTGAACTTCTGGGTGTTTTGTCTTCCATTGCAGCCTTTGTGGTGTTGATGGCTCTGTTTTTTCTTTACCTCAGCAACAAACTGTCTGTGCAGAGTCCTGACAATCTTTCACATCTCAACGGACATAAGAATCCCCAGCAAGGTACTTAACACATTTACAAACTCACCATATCTGCTGATATGTTTGCAAAGTAACATTATTATTGGCTGTCTTGGGGTTCTGTATTGCAACATTTTATGGCATGTAACAGTTGGAATGTTTTGGTAGAAGTATTTTTGGCATGTATATATAATTTTTTTTTTGCTGCAGAAAGACAAACAATCTCTTGTTAAATACCTCTATATACCTAAAACAATCTTTATAGTTATTGTGACTGAAAATGAGACAGAGTATTCAGATGTACACTATGTTTAATGTCAGACAAATATTATTACTGATTTACTCGATTACAGTGGGAGCCTTGCATTATTAAAGACCATCAGTGATTTGATGAATATAGGCCTTGTTCTTGGTGTGAATTCAGTTAGACATGAAAAGGCAGTTTATCTATTTTACCGAAAAGGCAAATTGGATAAAAGTTATTTCTAATATTCAATTTTAATATATTCTGGATGTTTGTTCTTATGTTCTTATTTCAAAAACATGAGCTAAAGTTATAGTTTGCACATTAGAAAGTATCAAAAAGATTAGTCATAAGAAGGGTACAAAAACTTTTTCAGCATAAAATGCGCACTAATGCATTGCAACAAATATATTGCAGCAAAGATGACAACAGAAAACAACACATCAATGGCGACACTTTCAGAGCTGCAGGAATTTCAAAGGAAATCTGCATGCAACAGCAATCACCAGTAATAAAGGAAAGTAAGGAGGAGGGCTGCAAGATAGCCACCATTGTTTCAAAGAAAACATTGAAACCTTGCTAAATTATTCATGTGTTACACTTTACTAAACTAAAGATAAGGTTTTGGGCAATAATTATAAAATATAATGTTAGAATGACACCCAACAATGAACATAAAACAATACAAAATAAAACAACAACAAAAAAAAAACAAAAAAAAGAACAAAAAAATAAAAGAAGGAGCCATAAAAAATGTATATATTAACAGTTCCCAATAAGACTAAGTTTTAATCTAATACCCTGCCAGAAACCTGAAGAAGTCGATGATTATTTTCACAGCAAACTCAATGGAAACTCAATGGAATTAGCCTTTCCTAAAGAAAATAAATTGTTCCCAGATTCCAAAACTAAATGCAGTAGAAAATCTGTAGGTTTGATTTGTGGAGGGCCAAATCCATGAGAATATTATCATTCTCATGGATTTGGAGAACAAAAGCCTCTTCAAATAAGCAACAGTTAAAGGAAAAGTCCAGTCAGCAAGCAATGATCAATGGATCATTATCTATACTTAAAACTAATACGCCCATGGTTATTTAATAAATTTATTTTTAATCAGTTAAAAAAAAACTTACAATTTTTGTTGTGATCACTGAGTCCAGGGGCCGGCCATTTTTGCCCAAATATAGTAATGGACGTCATGGTGCGTCATGGTGCGGTAAGCCTAGCACCATTCTCCCCGCTTTACAAACAAAATCAGTGGGAACTACAAGACATATCTGCAATCAACAACAATTATTTTAGAATTCGAGGAGACTTCACCATTGAAATTCCCGAGAGCTATAGTTAAACTGACAATATCCGCATGCATGGCAGTTATATGTTGTAAAACATCGGGTAAAAGTGAAAAAGAAATTGGTCATTTCACTTTCCGATTCTTGATCCTCCACGGGTTCATCATTGGATTGCCAACTTGAAGATAGAGGATTTGCCATCAAACTTTTGGCCAATGAAAAAAATACTTCGAAGAAGAATGTTTTCAAGATGACTTGGATAATAGCGCGTGGTGACAAACACCAGATACAGCACTGGGACTTGATCAACAGCCGATACCGAACCATTAGGTCACAAACCAGTAGGTGGCAGTAGTGCTCATTGACAAACATGGATGCCTCCAGTAAAGCACATTCAAATAAAAATTACTCTTAATTACAAACATTTATAAAGAGTATGTAATAATTTCATATTTAAAGTACTTTCAAAAGTTTGTATTCTAAAATGACTGAACTTTTCATTTAAAGGGTGGAACAGCCATACAAAGTTGGTTTTCTTAAAAATAATAGTCTTAAACTCCCCTAGATTTGATTGTTTTGGATGAATTCATCCATCCATTTTCTTCCACTCAGTCCTTCTCAGGGTCGCGATGGGGCCAGTGCCTATCTCGGGTAGTGTACGGACAAGAGGCAAGGTACACCCTGGATAGGTAGCCAGTCTGTCGCAGGGTTTTAGATAAATAACAAACAATATTACATTCAAATTGAAGAAAAAGTGAAAAAATGTTTAACCATAGCCTTATACTGTGAAATAGTCATATATGGGCTAAAATCAGTAGTAAAAGTAGATCAGAATTAGTTTGAAAGAAAACTTAAAACCTGTGAGTTATTTCTTTAAATTAATTTTCCAACTGATCAGCTGAAATTATACCAGTAGGCTAATCTCTACCACCAACTAACTGCTGCATGCATGTAAATACTGTGATGATGGCCTCACACCCTGCTAACCAACACATGTCTGTGTCAGTGCTTTTGATGAGCTAATCTAGCGATCAACGTGTAATAGAATCCCTCCGACTGGGAGATGGCCTTCTTCAAGAGCTTCCAGCCGACCCTGCCGTCTGTCAACATTTCCTCCATCCTGGACTCAGTCACCAGTCGTGTGGACGACTTGGCAAATGCAGTCAGCGATGCCACATATGCAGTCAGCGACCAGCTCACAGAGCAGGTCTCTACTATTATCAACAAGGTGCAGGACGAAGAGGAGGGGGAAAACAACAGGAGCCAGGATGCTGGTCAGGCCTCCGGCTCACAAGAAGGAAGGGCTGGCAATAGAAGCATGTGGCAAATGCAAAAAAACTCTGATTCTGGTCAGACGGGTTTGAAAAACAACCAAACCAACGATGCAATGGACGCACAGAACTCTCAGAGTCAACTAGAGTGGGAATGGAGGGATGGATGCTGGAGAGTTAAAAAAACAGAAGCCGAGTTAGCAGAAGAAGAAAGGAGGAAGAAGGAGGAAAGGGAGATACAAGAAAGGAGGGAGCAGAGAAGAAAAGAGAGGAGGGAGAGACAGCTGGAGAAAGAAGCTGAAGCTAAAAGAAACAGAGAAGAAGAGGAAGATGAGGAAGATGAGGCCTCTGAGAAAACAGCCAATGGAGACGGACAAGATGGAAAGACAAATGAGGGTGATGATCAAATATCTGTTCAACAAAAAAGGGATGTCTCTGACAATGAAATGGAAACACAGATATCAAAGCAGGAGCAGAAGGGAGATGGAGAAGCAAAAGAGTTAGAAGCTGTACAAGAGAGCGAGGCAGACAACGAGGAAGAGGATGAGCCATCTAGATCTTCCTCTAAAGTAAAAAAGAGGAAGTCGGATAAAAAAAAGGTCGAAGACAGTTTGCATTCATGTGAGGAGGATTTAAAAGCAAAGAAAAAAAAAGACAAAGGAAAGAAAAGCAAGAAGAAGCAGAAAGGAAACCAAGGTTAGAGTGTGATACTTCAGTGTGTGCTCTGATCTTTGGATCTCCTCTTTTTAAGCTTCTTCTCTGACTGACTGAGTGCTGCGTGCCACTTCCAGCTTGGTCTTGCCTCTTTAAATATTCCACTCACTTTTGCTTAGGAGATAAATCTACCACTTTAACGAAAGTCTCCATATGTCCTGTACAGATGGAGATATTTCAAAGCACGAGGAGGAAAAAATCCCAGAGGGTGTGACCCAGCAGAATGTAAGCTCTGCATGGAGGAAAGGCAAACAGTCCAATGAGCAGGAAGGATACAGCAGCGAGGCCTCCAGTGAACAGGGTAATATAATACCTTATTTATCCTTATCTTATTTAGCTTGTAAATGTAAAATGATAATTTTATAATAAATTAAAATAATGAGAAGGCAGTTAAAAAACATATTCTAAATATGGTAAAAAGATTAAAATAAAACTAGCTATAGCTTATAATAGTATAATTAGTAATGTACTATAATGTAATTATTTGTATTTATAAATTTAAGATTTGCTTAAAATAAATGCTTTCATTTTTTAAATATATATGTAGATTAAAGATGTTATACAGACAACATTAAGCCTTACGGTTACTTTATTTGGGCAGTTTTGTATCATGGTGGAAATCATTTGCCATATTTTTTCCAGTCTAGGCATTAGCAAGTAAAAATTCAAATTTCTATTACAGGACATACAATTATAATAATGTATACTGATGACATATAGGTTACATTTATAATTTATCGCTTACATTTGAAAAGGGCTCTGAAATATTTTTTCCTTCTACCCGATCTTTGTTTACTTTGTTGTGACTCTAGCTGCCAGCATTCAGAGGATAAAGAAAGATTCCTCACTAACTGAGCTCCAGCCTCCCCCATACCATCACGTAAACTCAGGGACACGCAAGTCCTCACGCTACTGTTCAGAACGAGGAGTCAGGAGGCCGTCGTCCCTGCAAAATTCTGACAGCCCTCGTTGCTCCAGCGAGGCCAGCATGGACCAGGATACTGAGAGTTACCTCAACAAAGGCTGCGAGGAGGACATTCCCAGTGACAGCACTGCTGTTCTAAGTCCAGAGGTAAGTTTAAATAAAACAATGTACCATCCATCTTCTAACACACTTAGTCCCGAGTGGGGTCGCTGGTGCTGGTGCCTCTCCAGCTGTCAATGGGCGAGAGGCGGGGTACACCCTGGACAGGTCGCCAGTCCATCACAGGGCAACACAGAGACAAACAACCATTCCTAAGGAGAATTTAGAGAAACCTATTAACCTGACAGACATGTTTTTGGACTGTGGGAGGAAGCCAGAATACCCCGAGAAAACCCACGCATGCTCAGGGAGAACATGCAAACTCCATGCAGAAAGACCCTGGGCCAGGAATCAAACCCAGAACCTTCTTGCTGCAAGGCAGCAATGCTACCCACTGCTCCACTGAGCAGCCCAAAAGTCAATATACCTTCTACTTATCAGATAATTGTAAAAAAAAAAAAAAAAAAAAAAAAACAGTATGCGAGGAACTGTGGAAACAATTGTACCCCACCATATTATTAGGGTAACTTACAATGACGTGCATGCATCTAAACCTTACAACTACAAACTTCTGTTTACTTTTGCATGTCATAAAACAGCACAATGTAGTTCATAATTGTGAACGAAAATGTCACAAGGTTTTCAAAATTTTAAACGCTTCTTTCATAATTGAAATGTCTTCTGTGAAATATTCCAAGTTCAGTCAGACTGGATGGCGAGTGTCTGTGAACCTTTTTTTCCAGTATTGGAGTTAGACCCTCGTTAAAAAATAAGGTATTCTGTAAATCAATCAGTTGTGGTGGTGTTACTGTGTTTGTATGTTAAGTTTTATCCTGCTGAAAATAATAATAATAATTGAACTTTATTGATCTCACATTGGAGAAATTAACTCTCTGCATTTAACCCATCCCCTTGGGGAGCAGTGGGGAGCATTGTGTGGGAAAGGGTCTTGCTCAACGACCCAGAGGGCAGGCTGTGGGGATCAAACCGGGTACTTGCAACCTTCTCAGAGCACAAGGGCACTGCTCTAACCCACTAGGACAACACGCTCGTAGAAAATGAACCTTTCTACAAGACCTCAAGACTTTCTCAGCATCTTACAGGCTTTATTTCAGAACTGAGCTCCATCCTTCTTTCATCAACATTTTCCCCTTATCCATGTTTAAGAATACCATCTCTACAGGATGATGCTGCCACCACTATGTCTTTATGCAGGGATGGTTTGTCCATAATTTCCATGTAATCCTTAATCTTCAATACAGTTTAGTTTTTTTTATCAGAGCCTCTTCTTTCTTGTATGCATTGTAGAAAGTTGCAAACAGGACTTTGTATTACTCTGAACAACAGTTTTCTTCTTCCAGAACTGCTAGATTTGGGAAACAGTGAACTAACAGATATTTGATAGATTTTCCAACCGGATAAATAAATCTCTGTAACTCCTCCAGATTAACTAGGGGTTTTTGGGCAGCTTCTAGGATTAATGCCATATGTTCTCAGTCCGTTTAGAAATGCAAATGAATGTGTTTGTGAGTTTCCCGTTTTAGATACTCACTCTCTGAAATGTTCAAGCTTGAGACATTGTTGATAAATGAATTTATTTCACAAGAATATAATACAAATAATTCCATTCAATTTTATCTAAGTTTATACAAGTAAACTAAGACGGTTATGCTTATGCCAAATGTATATCATAGTTCAATATCTTTGTTTAAAATTAGGTTTTAAAAGCCATCTATCTTTTTACCTCATCTTCATAGCTATGTGCTGCTTTGTGTAGGTACTTAACAAGCCTAAAACAATGACAAACATTTAGAATTCAAAGTAAAGAAGTAAACTTCTTTTTTGATAAATTACCTTATTAGAAAAAAAAGGTTAACTTGTTATTTATCAAATAGCACTAGAGTACATACATAACACCTCTATAATTGTGACATCTTCAGGATGGGTCTGGTCTTCAGCTTCCTTCAGCCTATGAGCCAGAGCCAATGGCTCAATACGGCACTCTGGACGTCGCCTTCGAGTACGACTCCACCGAGCAGTGGCTGGCCGTCACTGTGACGGCTGCGACAGACATCCCCGCTCTGAAGCAGACGGGTAACATCGCCTGGCAGGTCCACCTGGTCCTGCTCCCCACCAAGAAGCAGCGGGCCAAAACGGGCGTGCAGAAGGGCCCGTGTCCCGTTTTCACAGAAACATTCAAGTTTTCCAGGGTGGAACAAGAGGCCCTGGGGGACTACGCTGTACGCTTTCGCCTGTACAGCATCAGACGGATGAAGAAGGAGAAGGTGCTGGGAGAGAAGGTGTTCTACCTGACTAAGCTCAACTTGCAGGGGAAGATCGCTCTACCCGTCACCCTGGAGCCTGGCTCTGAACTTACAGTGAGAACACCTTGTGAATTCTACCCTACTCTATTATGAGTTTACAAAATACCTATAGGTACTTATAATCCTGTTTGATTTCTCCTCATGCCAGGGCTGTGGCTCTCTCGTGAGCGTGTCTCGTAGTGCAGGTGCTCTGTCCTACCGCTCCACCGAAGACTCCTCGCTGCCAGAGATCCTCCTGGGTCTCATCTATAACTCTGCCACCGGACAGCTTTCTGCTGAGGTTATACAAGGAAGTCGCTTTAAAACTACAGCTTCTGATAAACCTGTCAGTAAGTATTAAAGCTATAATGGAGAAGCTCGTATCTGTTCGATTTGTTTTACCTCACTGTGAATTTCTATTATGTGTTTCTATAAATGGTGCATTTTATATTAGATTCTAATTGATACAGATGGGGGGAAAAGAGAAAATGTAGAAAACAACAGTTCATTAAATAAAACTGCTAGTTGTGATGATTATATTTAGTGATGCACAGCTCAAGGTTTAAAAAGTGTTACTGGTATTTCACTTGTCGCAGTCGCTTTATTGAAAATGCTTATCAGAAGACATGTTTCACCTTCCAGCTAAAAAAGCATAATGACTTTTAAAGCTAAAGGCAGTCTGGGGAAATATTGGGGTGTATGCTGGTTTATTTGGGATGGGTTGGTTGTTTATTTTCAAAAAACAGGAGTCCTTAGTCACAATCAACAATCAAAGCTGTTCGGTTTTAATCTAGATCTGCTTTCTGGTTAACACTTCTTTTCTTAAGCTTTCTATCTTGCCTCTTTCCTATCTTTTGTGTGCTGTGGTGTGTGTCCACCTTTTAGATGGTCTGTTTTGTTGTGTGAAGCACTTCGTAGGAGGACAGCTGTATATCATGAGAGGTAAGGCGACAGATACCTTTTGGTAACCAGGGAATTTGAGGAGTACTTTTTATCTGCTTTTTTACATTGAAAAGTTAAAAACATGTAGCGTGTATGAAAACAGAAGCTCATCCATCTTAACCTGATAAACCAGACTAAATATGAGATTAAATGTGTAATTTAAACTTGCAGGCAAAAATGATTTTGCCTGCGAGTGGGTGGGGCTAGTTTACTAAGGTTACATCCATCTGCATTTTGGCTCTATGTCAGAACATATTCACTTATTTTCAAATAACCCTTTATAAATTTTTTTGTGTTAATCATATAACTAAATATAGGATTTTAGTTTATATTCCAATTTTATGTGTTTAAAAAAATATATATTTAAATTAATGCTCAATGCCCACTGTTATGACATTTTAAGATTTAGAATAAACTAAAAATTTCACCCATGTCGGCTTTCTTTTTAGACAAATGTACATTTGCATATTCACAGTAAAAAAATCTGTTTTCTTTTTAAAAATATATTTGTACTTAAGATGTCTTCAATGAGAGCGGAGCGTAACGAAAGTCAAAACTCCTTGAATTACCAAATAAGCAATTAAAGCAAATACTTATTCAAATGAAACTAATTCTTAAATGTAAATTGTATTTAAAAAAAAATAAATAAATGCAATGAAAACATTTTTTTGGGCGACTTTGTTTAATTTCAGTTTCCAATCTTGTAGCATCACTTTCGGTTTTAGAATGTGTCTGACAGCTCAAAGCATGTTAAAGGATTTATGAAAAAGCAACATAAAGTGAGAATAAAAGTCCAACAAAAGACAAATGCAGAACAGGGGTAAAGCTCGACAAAAGTGGAAGCCTTATCTAAATGAATCCAAGAGATTATCAATGATTAATCCAAGTGGTGACGGGCCTTTCTTCCATAGCCAAGGTGAGAGTGAGTTAATACTGAAAATAAAGAGACGTGACAGAATGCCTGATAAGGTCCAGCTGCACAGCTTTGTTAACTTTAACTAATAATGAAATGTGTTTAATCTCAAACAGTAGAACTAAAAAAGAAAAGGGTGAGGAAAACTATTTGACTGCACTGTACGTAGGAAAACGTTTTTTTTTTTTTGGTAATTTTTGCTAGAACTAAAGTAAACCTAAAAAAACATTAAATGTTTTTTCATAAAATTATAAATCTTGGCCCTTGACTAGAGAGGAGAGGGCTGTTAGGTGTTTCTTTCGGACCACTTGGATGAATCATTGATGATCTCTTGGAAATATTTTGGTAAGGCTACTACTTTTAGGTTGTTTTTGGAATAAAGTCTTACATACCTCTTTTTTCTTCTAAAATGTCTGCTGCAGTGTTCCTTTTCTTCCACTTGATGGCGCTCCATCACTGTTCCAATACATGTCTCTCTTCTTAGACACCTACGTCAAGCTCACCATGCTGGACTCCAAGGGCAAGGAGATGTCCAAGCGCAAGACAGCGGTGTGCCGTGGCCAGCCCAACCCCACCTACAAGGAGACGTTCGTCTTCCAGGTGGCTCTCTTCCAGCTGTCCGAAGTCTCGCTGGTGTTGTCTGTGTTCTGCAGGAGGAGCAGCATGAGGCCCAGGGAGAGGCTGGGATGGGTCTCCTTAGGCCACAGCAGCACCACAGAGGAGCAGCAAGCCCACTGGACAGAGATGAGGGAGGCAGAGGGGCAGCAGGTCTGCCACTGGCATACTCTCACTGACACTTAGGAGGACTGTAGCAAAAGTAAAGAGCATTTCAAGCTGGGAGAAAAGCAGGAAGCACTGTCTGAGCAGAGTGTCCTTGTGTTGCACATTGAAGCGAGGATGGGGTCTCTCTCCCACCCCTCACTGCTGGACTGAAAGGATACCCTTTAACCTGCCACTTTTGTCTGATGCAGCCAGTCTGGGCTAATGAATAAGGCTTTATACCTCCAGTTAAAGACTGACACTGTAATGACAGGATGTGAAGTTCAGCAAAAATAATTTGTTTTTTATATAAAGATACTTTTAACAGTAAAATCTGCATGCACACCAACTGTTTACAGGACCAATATGAAAACACTTCCAGAACAGCTTCGGCCTTTGAATCTCGGACCAAAGATTTTGGTCCAGGAGCAGCAGACTTCTTCCAATACTTTCTGGGCTTCAGCTATCACCAGCATACCAGACATTTCTCTACCACTGAATTAAAAAGAGAATGCAATGAGTGGACTGTTAGTCCTGTAACATGCTGCAACGATGCTTACAAGCTATTCTTTTTACAGTACGTTTACATGCACAGCATTATGCAATTTAAATGAGTTGGTTTGCCCCCTTTCTTAAAAATCTTTTGTTGTTTTTACAAAAAAAAATGTTCTTCATATTGTGGACTTACATAACTGAACACTATGCATCTGATGCCATTGTATACAGGAAGGGTGCAAATGTTCCCTGTCCTCGTCGAGTCTCTTATAGAAATGGACACAGCTCTGCATGCCGCCTGTGTTGAAGGACAGCTTCATTTCCTGTGCAATACAAACTGAGCCTGTATCACCGTTCAGCCTTCTGACAGCTCTTCCATGTTCGTTCATGTAGAAACATGGTGCATCACGCCGGGCCGAGGAGGAAAATGCAACAGACGGCACAGTCCCAATAAAACCCAGCTGTCTGAAAGAGCAGCGCCCACAACGGCCTCAGCTGTGCTTACTGAACCAGAGAGAGGAAAGCAGAATTAAAGACACATGAATCATATTTTTTTTTTTTATATGTGATGTTTCAGAAACCTTGAATAAATATGAGAACTACTGAGCAAAAGTCTGAGGAATGGTATGAGGACCTGTAAGTATAGAGAGGTGTGAGTCAGAAAAGCTTCCCTGAGGACAAATGAAGCCTCCACAGTCACACCCATGTCTTCCTGCCTTGGAGACAAGTTTAACAGGCGTGTTCTTCGATGCCCATTTTGACAGTTAGTCTTGTTGCTTGCTTACGTCACACCTCATCCTTGCGGTTCTGCTGGAGAAAAAAAAAATTGTAGATTTAAATTAATATTATTTTAAGTTATGAAAAACAAATCCACAACTCGTACGTTTTTTTGTTTGTTTTCCAGAGATTTACCCTCTGTGTGAACCTTTTAATGTTATTTTGCTATCTTCAGATCCTCAGATAAGCTGTTCTCAGTTCTCAAATCTGGAAACATTTTAACATATTTTCTTAGTTAGTTCCAGTGCTTTGTTTGAAATCCAAACCAGTTAAACATAAGACCCATTAAAACCAGAATAATCAGCAATGTGGAGAAAAGTTAATGTTTAGAAGTTGCTAATGATAAAAAATAAGTTGGACATCTTTTGCATGCATTTGTCAACATAGAGGGGGATTTTGATGCTGTTAAACTGTTAATTTAGTCACAGAACAAATAGAAATCCAGTTTCTTTATTTGCTCCTCTTTTGCAATCCTGCATCCCATTTCTCTCCCAGTTAAGACCCTTTGAATATTGGTAGGTGTTCCATTTTCCATCTGGTTTAACTTTCCTTTTTTTTTTTTTTTTTATTTGTGCACTCTATGAGGTTTAACATGCCATACCAAAACAAAGTAATGCAGAATTGTTTAATTTGAGAAAAAAATATAAAATTCATGAGGAAAAATTCCAAAGTTTGGTTCCCATTTGTATTGAATCACCTAAACTCTGACACTTATGAATAATATCCAGTTTTGCCAACTGATGTCAAAGGTCAACTATTAGCTTTGTAGAGATCAGTGTTTGATTTAATTCTAGTATAAATACAGAGCATTAGTCACCAAACAGGATAAATCAGACTGAGAAACAAAATGGACAAATCAAGGGTGAGGAGTCAGGGGACTTTAATCCAGGGTTAATTATGAAACTATTTTTAAACCTTTTATATATCTTACAAAGCCGAATTTAATCCACACTCAAAACATGGAATGAGCATGACGCAGCTACCAGCTTACAAACACTCGTTTGTTCATTTAAACTGAGGTTTTGGAAAAGAAAGACCATCAAATGTATTTAGGAAACCAGCACAAAGTGACTCCACTTATATTTCAATCTAAAGTAAATCCAAACACATGAAGTGTCTTAGTAATTAGCTATTGTTGAAATGAAAATGAATTTTGCACAGAAACAAAAAATAAAAGCCTGTTTATAGCAGCAGGATCCAGAGATAATTTCTATGTAATCACTGTATAAAATAAATATTTCCCCAGAACATTAGGCTTAGGTTCTCCTAAAAGGTTCTTAACTCCAGCCACGACTGCAGTGCGTCTGCAACTCACGGTTTAAAGGCAAAAGGTAGAAACAGTACGAAAGAATCTTGTTTTTAATGCAGCCCAGAGGCCAATGGCAGCTGTGGAGGAGCTGCAGAGATCTACAGCTGAAGTGGGAAAACATTTAAAGAAAAACAAACGATTAGTTATGCACGCCACAACCCCAGCATATATGGGAGACAAGGTGCAAAAAGTTCTTTTGGTGGTCTGTCCCAAGCAAGGAATGGTAGAGGCAGCATTATGCTGTGGGAAAGCTTTTCTGAAAGCTGGTCGGAGACAGTAAAAAATGATTGTGCCCTGTGGACCCCTCGTGGAAGAAAAACCTGCAAGAAGGTAAAGACTAAAGCAGATTCTCCTTCCAAAGGGACAAAACCCTTCAATATAGCCTGGCTTTCAGTTGTATGCTGCTTTATTTGTCTGTCTTTAAAATGCTCTTGTGTTTATGGTTGCAAGGTGATCAAATGTAATGAGAAAATTCAAAGGGAGTCCCACTGCAGGGAAATTATCTAAGGAAGGAAGCAGCTACAAGAATGAAGACAAGTCACAATATGTTTTTGTTAAACAAGGTTTTATTTCCATTCTTCTGGTCTTTGAATGGTATGTCTGACGCAGTCAGTCTGACAGCAGGTGGCTGGAGCCTCACCCAAAGGGGGGAGACAGACCAAGTAGCACACATCAATATTTACACCTTGCAGGGGGACTGCAGACTTTTAGATTTATTCTACTTCAAGCCACAGAAAACTAGTTGTGCTACTGTAGCTTGAGGGGGAGAAAAAAAAAAAAAGCACAGAGGAAGAACGGCTGGCTTGAACTGAGCCCTAAGGACTCGATCAGAGTCGGAAGGTAATTACAAAACGCCTAGAAGGTTATTGTATTTCCATCAGGAGGGGACATATAGTTTGGTTTTGGTCACGTCCCAAAAGACAGAATAAAAAAAATAAAATAAAAATCTGCATCCCAGAAATATAGACTGAGCCTGTTTTACTTTAATAGGAGCTGTACTCTGGAGCAGGTGCAACATTTGGCCTTTAAGACTTCCTCTCCTCTGCTCATGTTGGAGGCACCACAAAGTCATTGGCAACAAATCAATGTGACATGTCAATTAGGTAATATAAGTGATTAGGAACAAGCAACCACAACATTATGGTTTTATTGCATGTCTTATCAAGTTTAAAAACATTAATAAATATACACCATTTTGTTAAAGTTCCATAAAAGCATCCTCACAGAATACAAATGCTGGGAAAGACCATCACTTTGACTTTATGTTTTATGTTCAGATTACAGAAATTAGCAGGATTTTGGATTTATAATACATGATGGTTCGGCTCCAGTAGTCGTACCATTCTGCATCCCTTTATTGAGCATCTCGCAAACTTATGCTGTAAAGCTGCAGACATCGTACCCATTTGGCAAAAAAAAAACATTCAAGCAAAAAGTAAAGGAATCAATGTGACACTTTAAAAACTTTGTCTACATGAGGATGTGGCCCCATATCTGTGCTGGAAAAGGCAGAACGTTGATGAGATTTGACATTCAAATGGAAATTAATTTGCTTTCCCCGTTCTGGGAGCAAAGCTCTCGTTTTCAGCACGGTACGGACACAAACTGCAGCAGTGAAATGGGAGCACAGGAGCCAAATTAGCCAACGAGTTGATGTTTTGGACCATTTCTTCACTCGGATCATTACCATTGCTCCCCCATAAAACAAAACTAAATTAATTAGAGAGATCTAACTGTGCTAGTAGGAGGTATATTTGTCACATTCTGACAGAGAAAGAAAAAACTGTAGCTTGTAGTTTCAGATTTAATGTCCTAACAGCACATTCTAGTCAGAGGTTTACAGAAATTCCTCACGGACATAAAAGTCATTAGTTTTAGGCATTTAATGAGGCATTTGAGCAGTTCTTTTGTGTGTTTGTGTGTGTGGTGTGGGGGAGGGGGTAATGACACATACATCAGCAATAAAAAAAATAAAATAGATGAGTGCAAAGGATTAGCTCAAATATATACACCTCCAGTAATATTTGGTTAATTTTGCAGCAAAACAGCCGTTTTTCTCAACGTCGGTAAAAATTAATTGTCCCTTTTGAGTTATCAACAAGTTCCTGACAAGATCCAGGCTGAGAGTTTGACCTCTCCTGCTGGCAGAATTATCAGAACTAATTTTAATTGGTTTATTTCCTGCCACTGAAACAGCTTTAGGCAATGTTCACACTTCTAATGGGCTCCTTCAAAGTTTTCATGTAAAACTTTCAAACTTTTTTTAGGCTTCCTATTCCTCACTTTGTCTTGAGCGATTTTTAAATATAAAATACAAACATTCACTGTGAATTTATGACTGATATGTGCATGGGGGGTATAATGCATAAATAGAAAATAATTGAAAGGGAGGTTTGGATATAATGAAGGTAGGAAAGGAAGGGCAAGAGGAAAGGAAGCAGGAAATAAAAATTAAAGGTGAAAGAAGAGAAGGAAGGACACAAGGATGAAAATAGGGCAGATTAAATGACAAAAAGAGGAGAGAATGAGGGAAATGGAGGAGGGTACCTGCAAGGTAGGAGGAATAGAAGGAAGAAAGGATAAAAGGGACTGAAATAAGGACATAAGGAAAAAACGGACTACACAACAGACTGAGGGTGACCAAATGTAAGAAGATAGTGTAGAAGGAAGGACAAAGGACACTTCATAATACTAATGATAGTGCAGACCAGGAAAAACAAATTCAATTCCAGTTTGCTTAGGGACCCAACATAGGAGGAAAGCTGAAAAGAAATCTAAGCCTTCGAAAGCCAGTTTTGATGAAGTATAGGATGAATGAATTTCTGAGACACTCCACTTTGTACAGGTTCAACACAAAGCAACCCAAGAACTCCTCAACCTTATTAGAAGATGCTGGAATATCAGCCTCAGTGTCAGCAACTGACTGAGTTTAACATCAACACGGACTGAAATCAGTCAATGTTAAATATAAATCTGCTGACATGAATGAGTCAAATTCTCTAAGGTTTCATCCTCAAGACATAAACAATAATAGGAAATGTATTAGGATACAGACAGGAACATTTATTGTGGCACGATAACTGGAACCTATATCCCTTCAGGTTGTTCTGTTGTACTTTAAAAAGTGACCCAAATAATTATTGACTGTCAGCAAATTTGCGTAATTTAACTCAAACAATTAGCTATATAGATATTACTTGGACAAAGCTGTACGGTCCACTAAAAAAACAAACATAGAACTGGTATGTGAATAAATAAAACAGACATCAGATCTATTAAAATTTTTGGACTTTAAAATGTTTTACAAAGGAAGCCGACTAATTTTCTCAACCAATTCTATGGTGGTCAGGGTTCAGATATAGTCAGAATTGTTCTGATGGCAGCAAAATGAGGGCTTGAAAAAGCCTAATAAAAGGCGTTCATAGCTTTAAAAATAAATTACTGAGGGTAAAGTATATTTTCAGCATGTATGTATGAGGTATGGATGATCAGGAATTTAAAAATAATCTAAAACTTGTGCTTAAAAAAACATTTTTTTATATTTTTTGTCATTATTGAGAGTTTTATGATCTGTGTTTATTAACTCCTCAAACTGGATTCAAGCTTGATTTAGGCTGCAGTGCTTCTTTAGGTATATTTATAATCTGCAGGTGTTTGGTTAATATTACTCCTTTTAAAGATGACTTGAACCCGAAAATGTGTTGGCTGGTTTTACTGACAGTTCTCAGGCATTGCGGTGACTGCTAAATTCCCTCTGGAGGACGTACTGCTGTCTAGACAGGACTGGACTCAGCGGTTGTACTTTTGATTTCCCCAAAGGCGGGGAGGTTTGGAAAAATGTCCACAAGACGTATATTTACACATTTAAATGACATCCTTTAAAAAAAAAAGAAAGTCTGATAAAATACGTCTGACCATCAGTGCTCGAGTTTAAAGGTTTTTTTTTTTCTTTTTTACCTAAAACGCTCCCAGTTTAATCCATTATGTGTTTCTGTACACTTTAAGACTGCCTCCTTTTTTTTTTAGCAGGCAGTTAAGAGGTGCAAACAGTTTCTGTAACTAGTGGTTGATGATGGAACATGATTGGAAAGGCATGTAAAAAAAAAAAAGAAAATTGTCCAATGAAAAAGCTTCATTTCTCGGCAGTAGTTTCTTTTATCTTCCGCTCTCTGAATCCGCAGCTGTTAAACGTTCGATCCAACTCAACATCTGATCCCTCCTGCTTGTTAATCCTGCAGTCCGACCGTCAGTCTTCCTCACTACTTCTGGTGGAAGTTTCAGTCATTTCATCCACTGTTTCAGGCTCTCTGTAAGACGATCGACCCCACACTAGATGAATTTGAAGCACTTTGTCTTATCATGGGGCAAACGAGTCTTAAACAGCACAGAATCCACTCTGAACTGCGTATATAGCAGCGGCATATAACCGTACACCTTGACAAAGAAGTTGATGCATTTGTGGCGCTCGTGGAAGTGCGAGTCGTCATGTGAGAGGGCCTGAGGACAGCCGGGGCAGCGGAAGGTCCACCGAGAGGTTACCTGAAACAAACACAGGGACCGTAAATTTACAGTTTTTTTTACCAACTGTTGCTGAAAAACCTGATTTATGGTACTGGTCAGTCATAAATATGCTGTCCAGTGATAAAATGTCCTTGTATGAGAAATCCTGGAGAAAAGAATAGTACAGATTCAATGTGGCAGTTTGTAATTATAATTGTGTGTTTGCAATATAGAAAATGCCAGTTTGAGTAATGGCAAGGCTAAGTGGGCAACAACAAAAATACACATTCTGATGAGGATAGATGGATAAAATATAAATAAGACAAGCCGTGTAAAGAAATACAAGATAAAAACTAAAAAAAACAACCTTGCACAAATATTCAGCAGCACGGATATTTTTCACTGTTTATGTTACAGTCGAACTTCAATGCATTTAAATGAGATTTTATGACAGAAACAAAGAATATAACTCAACGGTAATGAAATGTACAACTTTCAGATATAAAAAAACGAAACCCCAAAAACATAAAAAAGCTACTTAAAATAATAGTATCTGTTTGTATTCATCTTCCTGAGTCCATACTAGGTAGAGCGACTCTTAACTGCAACTGGCTTCAGGTCTTTAGAGGTACATCTCTTCTAGCTTTGCACATCTAGATTTTAAAGTTTATTCTTTATGAAAATGTGAACCCAAGCCCTTTGCATCCTCAAACAGGTTTACTTACTAAATATTTATCCCTTTCCATCAACCTCTACCAGATTTTTTATTTGCTGACAGAAAGCATGATGCTGCCACCTCCAAGTATGAGAAAAGGCAAGGCATTACTACATAGATTAGTCCCTTTCAAGTCAAAGTTTCTTAAATTTACAACTATAGAGCTCACTATTATTAATGACATTATTGTCCTCAACATTAAACCAGGTAATCTGTGTAAATCACAGGCACAGTGGGCTTTCAAAGCATGCAGGTGAGATTTGGGAACCAAAGGCTGCAGCTGACATTGCCCATTATTTACCTGAGAGTTGTGAGTTATATGCAAGGGGTTTCCTCTGGGAGAATTCCCTAAAGGGCGGAGCTCTCTGCTGCAACCCTAACAAGGTCCTTTTTAAAAAGTTTGGAAAATAATTGGGCTGTGCGGCGGTGCAGTGGATAACGCTGCTGCCTTGCAGCAAAAAGGTTCTGGGTTCGATTACTGGCCTGGGATCTTTTTGCATGTTCTCCCTGTGTATGCGTTGGTTCACTCCAGGTACTCCGGCTTCCTCCCACAGTCCAAAAACATGACTTTTAGGTTAATTGGCTTCTCTAAATTCTCCTTAGGCGTAAGTGTGCATGGTTGTTTGTCTTTGTCTTTGCATGTCTCTAGAGATAGAATCACGCAAAAACAGATCGGCACCGGCAACACCACGACCCTGACAAGGACTAAGCAGGAGAAAATGGATGGATGGATAGAAAGTACAGTTAAGGTTTCATTTTGACTAATAGTGTTTTTTTTTATTATTTGTCTTGGAGTGTTTGTGACAAACTACATATGAGATTTTCTTATAGCCTTGTTCAAAAACGGCTTTCTTCCTGCCAGTCTTCCATAAAGGTTAGATTTGCAGTGTACACAATAGTTTCCCCTTTAAACCAGGGTTCTTGACTCTTTGTTCCATCTACTCATTGTTCTTTTTTATCAATTTCATTGCAGGGTTGCATTTGTGTCAAAAACATTGCAATATTGATGGAACAGAGCTCTGTGACATGTTCAAAGCTCAAAATGTTTTATGACCTAAATCTACCCCAAAGATGATTTTGCGACTTCATCCTTGATTTAAAAAGAAAAGAGAACACACCATATACAATTTCTGGCCTGATAAAGTGTCAACTGAACATATTCCAATGTGTGGTGATGTCACAAAATATAAAAAAGTGAAACTTCCAACAGGAATAAGCATTTCTCGCCAATGTGCAAACATTAACAGTGTCTGAAAATCTTATAGCAAAGAGCAGTTGACAAAGTACAAAACAAACTTTAAAGTGAAAAAAAAAATAATAATCTAATAGCATCAATAGTTATTAATATTTTTATCATAAAAATAGATTTGGAACAGCAAGGATACACTTAAATGAAGATGCTAAAATCAATTAAAATCTGAAGGTGAATCATTTGTTTAGCGGTCATTAGGACACCTCGAGAAAAGCTTATTCTAAACATCCATAAATGCAACCTTTTTATCCTTCTTCTCTGCAAACAATAAATAAATAAACTCTTTTCCACCCAAGTTGCTTCAAAACACAAAGTAATGAAGCACAAACAGCAAGACGATTCTGGGGGAAGTGGTTTTGTGGTTAGAAAACATTCCAGAAAAAAAAAAACTTGCTAAGAAAAACAAGTCAAAGCCTCTCAAACAGATTTAAGCATTGAGTGCTAAAGTCTGTTCTGTTACACAAAAGTAACACAATAGCACAGAGCATATTTCATTACACAAGGAATCCTCTGCAATTACATATAGAAAAAAATTTAAAATAAAAATAAACCTCAAATGGGAAGTTATTTTAATAAAACTAAACAAGCTCAAGAGGTGCTAACTAATTATTAAAATGTGTAAAGATGGACCCTTAAGAGTGCAGCATCCACAAGAGAACCTTTTTAGATCTAATCTACTATCTTAGTAATCCTTGCAGTGTCTAAACTATTTACTTTAAAACCCAAGTTATTAATCCAGAAGCGAAAAACAAAAGCAGAGCTTTTTAAATGTATACTTTTTTTTTTCTAGACCTAAATTTAAAGGTTCACAGTAGGAATCTTCCCCACTATCTAATCTGTTCCTTCTGCAACACTTTTCCCTCCACTTAATGTTTTATTAAAGTGTTGATAAAGCATTCAGAACAGTCAGCTTTGTTCATATTGTATTGTGGCTTACCCTCTTTTAGAGAAGCAGTGCATCGAGATAAAGATTACACCATATCTTCATAAATGGATTTTCTTTTATGGTATTGTGTTTACACTTAAACAGAAGGACAACGGACGACCAACAATCTTAAAATTAAAAGGTAAACATGGGTTTGTTTATATTAACATGTGCGATAGTTTAACATTTTATAGATTTGATCTAAAATGAGCCGAAAAAGGAAGTCCTCTAATTTGGAAAACAAAGCTTTAATCAAGGACAATTTAGTTTTATTTTGCAGTTTTAAAAAAAACAGCATGTCCTTGTTTTATAACAAACTCTTCAACTCGCACTTTGTTCAGTCCTAAATACTAGACTGATCTATTGAAAGTTTCCCATGTTCTGCCAACTGTCTAATAAATATTTAATTTATCAGTGCTATAGACAAGATGCTAAGCTCTTAAAATGGTTGCTGCAGAGTCACTGCTGCTGAAGTTTTCATATGCAATAATCAGTGCTGCTGGTGAACAAAAAAATAAATAAAACAGCTTTGAAGCTTTGTTTTAGTCTCAGCTGTGAGCCCATTATAACAGACAAAGCCATCAAAAGGCCCATTTAAAGCCTATTCTATGAGATTCTCCAGAGCTATTACAAAGTCAGCTTGAGACAGTGCTTCTCTCACACAAAGGGAACAAATGTTAGCTAATCAAGCAGCAAAAGCAGGAATCTTACAATGCATTAAAGTTAAAAAAAAAAGGCACAAAGCGGCAGCTTAAAGAGTGGATAGATGTTTCTATAAAAACCCCTGCCTAAAAGATAAGGTCCCTCCGTTTAAAAACAACAGTGGTAAATCTGCTGCTGTGCTATTTAAGATCTCAATATTGAAGGGGAAAAAAAGCCTCACAAAACATCTGAAATTTAATGTCAGCTTCTCACCAGAGGTGCATTAAAAAAAAGCAATTTAGTTCCCAATCTTATTTGTCCTATTTGCCGGAAAAGAAGAGAAATATCTCCCCTCAACCATAAGAACGACAGACTTGCTCCAAATTCAATATTCAGGGGGCTTACTCTACAGTGAGGTGCTGTCGCACAACAAAAGGCAGCCTTAACTCCCTGCTGAAAATTGCCAGACATATAAATCAGGCAGAACTTTAAAACCGAAGGCAGTTCAGAGATTTCCAGCAATTTCCATGGCTTGATTAGAATTATTTGCCGGAGACATAAACATACGCTCGAGAAGAAAACTCAAGCAGAACACACCGATTTGAGCTGAAAATGTTTGTGTGAGGATATTGGATATGTCTGTTTGAGTAATGGGGAGTCTATACATGGGATTTAATGCAAAATAAATCCTAGAATAGTAACAGGAACCTGAAGGGTGAGGACACTGCATGCTACGTTTCTGACCTTGATGGGTGGTTTGCGGGTTATGTGAGACACCAGAAAGTTCATGGCAATGTCCTCGCAGTTTATGTATTCGTCCACCATGTCCCTGATGGCCTGGGGCATCACGTAAGAGTACAGGTAGGCGTAGTACTACAAGGACAAAAAAAACACAGGGGAAATCAGTCAACAATATGGCTGCCTTAAACTCTACAGGAATAGTTTCTTTGTTTATAAGAGGGTTCAGAGTCTGACCTTATGGAAGAAAGCAGCTCCTGTCAGGACCATGGAGAGCTCACAGGAGTAGTTGGAGTTGTAGAGCCAGGACTGATGGTTGACGTCCCACGCATGGTACCTCCCAGGGAAACCGACAATGCGATCTCTGGCCTCACGCCACACTCTGAGAGACACAATCAAACAGAAAAACAGATTCCTTTGAAACTTTGCTCAAGCTCTTAAAAGATCAGATAAAGCTTTTTCCTCATGCATTTCCATCCTACCCCTTATTTATATGCTTATATTATATTAATAAGTGATGCTAAATGCCAAAGAATTTTAGTAAGTCATAAACTTATTCTTAATCCTTCAAATTAGTAACAGCTTGACGTAAACATAAACTGCAACATCATTTGTTTGGGTTTTGTGTGACAAAGTACATAAAGTACTACAAAGTAGTTTTTACAATTCGAAATCAAAAAAGTGGAGAATGGCGTCTCTTTAATAAATGTTCTTTGCCAACGTTTAGCTTGACGTTCTACTGCTTTTTTACTTCTGTAGCAGCTTTTTTTTTTTGCCACACTGAAAAAAAAAGGCATTTAAAACTTAAAATTGGAATCATGCATATAGAAATCTAATGTGAAAAGCATTGTCTAATCGTATATTGTACATTTTTCATTGAATTATTAATGAGGAACTGTATTTATTAAGCCATTCTCCAAATCTATATGGAGTGCTACATGAAGATAAAAAAAAAAACAATTCATAAATCTGATTAATAGCTTTGTTATGACACATTTAAAAGATGGATTCCTTAGATCCTCATTGCAAAACCACCTTCTCTTTCATCTTGCATTTTAAAATACTTTTCTCAGCTGCATTGTGATTTTAGCTCTCTCATTGGTTAGACATCCACACTTGGTTCACAACATGACCATCAATAGAGCTGCTAACATCTGAGACTACTGCGATTGTTTAACTGGTTTCCAGTGTGTTCAGGGATCAAAAGGTTAATAGAGAGGGTATAAACTGAAATGGCTGTTTTTCAATGACTCCTAGTCCTCCATACCCTGAAGGCTGGATCATTGTCCTGACAGCAAATCGTCCAAGATGAGCTGTGGAATTTTTCAGCTGCTCCAGATTAATCCTTGCATTGTATGTTGTGCTCTTTGGTCTTCATGAATCTGTTTGTTCAAAAATTAACAGATGCCTTCACAGAACAGTCTATTAAATTAAGCTAGTGGATGAAAAACTAATTATGTGACCTCTGAAGGCATTTGATTGCATTTGTTTATTATTTAAGTACAGATGGAAAATGCTAAGTAACTATACTTCTATAATTTTATATAATTCTTTCATTTTTTTTTCTTCCATTTTAAAATAATTTTGCACTTCCTTGTTTTGATTTAGTTCATCCAATCCTTATAAAATGCCAAATAATTGTTTTTGTTGTTCTAATTTAAAAAAAAAATGTGTACAATGTCATTGGGGGATAAATACTTTAACAAGGAACTATATTCATGTGGGACATCTGTAAACTAGACAGAAACATACTTCAGCTGAGTTGCGTGTTGAAGTTGATCAGATTAGATAAACGTCTCCTACCGTCAAATAAGATCCAAGAAATTTCAAAAAGCAATTCAACATCTCAAATGAGCTCATGTGAAACCACTTATCTAAGATGCTCAGCTGCGCCACAACTTCCCTTTCCTCAGAGTGGAGGTCAGGAAACATTCTTGGATAATCATTGGGGACGTTTGAGAAATTCATCACAAATGAGCCAGTACACACACATACAGTAAGAGGATAAGTTTCTGCTTGTCTGGAAAAGCTGCCACTGCAATCTCACACAAGACTGGAATAGGAGCAATGATGTTCACGAAATAACAGCACAAAAAATTTCGTTAAACATACTCAGACATCTGAGAGTAACATTCGGGTACCTTGTATATCGATTTTCAACTAAATTTGAACTCTTTACAGATTCTGTATTTTTCAGAATTTGGAGTTTTGCCATTTTTAGAATTATTTTTCTGCATAATTGTGAAGTTGAAAGAATGGTTACAATTAAAATTAAATAGGGAGTATATTTGTCTCCTGGTAACAAATCAGACCCAGACCCTTTCCACCCCAGTTTTTCTTCAACATAAAGCTTAACTATTTTATCAGAAATAATTTAAATCAGCTATAGTCTTGTCAGTTTTATCTTGACTAAATTTACAGTGGTTTTCAAATGTGACACACCTGACTTAAAAAAAAATGGGTGATTAATCAGGCTCTGCAGCCCTTGGTGGCTGTTGAGAAGTAAATGCAATCATTTGATGCAGGTGTGCTGAAGCAGAGACATGTAAAACATGCAGGACTGTGGATTCTGAAGAAAATGGTTTGAAAAGCACTGATTTAGAGCAGGGATTATATAATCTGGTCCTCAAGTACCACTACCATTCAGGTTTTACCTTTCTCTGCACTAACTTTACAACCCTGTTCTTCTGCTGTTAATCACTGATTCATACAAGTCAGATGTGTGGCAGCAAGGAGACACATAAAACATGCAGGGCTGTGGTACCTGAAGAGCAGGATTGGGAACCTCTGTCACAAAGCAATGTTCTTTAGACAGAAGAGACTTTTGGACTAATGCACAGCAGCACGTTTTGTAAAAATACACATCACATATCCACTGTGGGGCTTAGAGGCCGAGGAGTGATGATTTTGTCATTTTTTAGTTATTCATTCAAACATGAACTGCAATCCAACATGATTCAAAAAACATTATGAAAATAATACAAGACTCAGGTGCAAACCTACAACAGTAAAATCAAGGAGCTGCAGTGACCCAGTCAGTCTTAAGTTAACCTGAATGAAACACTGAAGGGACACCAACAAGGCTATGCACAATCTTATGCTGGAAAGTAAGAATTGGTACTGGAGAACAGTGGGTTGATTCTCTCAAAAAGGATTAGTATATTCAAGCAGAATAAATAACACTTTAAGGTATTCATGCTTAAGGTTTTTCTTCATGCATTGTTTAAAAAAACCCCACTAAAAACGAAATGTCCTTCCAGATGATTCCATTACAAAAAAAGGAATTGCGAGTAAGTCGTTTTATTCGAAACATCCAAAGCTGTGAGAGGAACCATAGAGAATCTTTTTTTAGTAGATTAAACATAAATAAAATAAATACTTATAAGGGTTAGAAGGGTTTTAAATCCTTCCAGAAGGTAAAAGATCATCTCTACATAAAGCTTGACTGACCTGAAGCCAAACATGATTTCATCGTGCCGAAGATGAGCATCATCATCAATGGAGAGGATGGCCTCAGTTTCCACGACATCCCAGGGAAGAAAGCGATTGTTGAGGCTGTTCTTCTCTGTGCGGACAACCTGCAAGCATGAGTTTAGCAAAAGACCATTAATATAAAAGCAACACCGGTACCAGTTTGAAAAGACATCTATAAGAACAAAACTAAAGAAAAACAATTTAAGACTTATCATGTAAGCTACCATTTCTTTTAGAAATTAGTGGCCATTTTCCTTTCTAAAAGGTAAAAAAGAACCTAAATAACATTTAAATCTCTTTTTTTTATTTTTTAAAATCTCAATTCAAAAGGCCCAAAGACTTTACTGGTATTAAATACACAAATAGCTGCTTCTTAACATCCTAGACTTTACGGTAAACTTAAAGTATTGCATAAGAACTCGGCAACACACCAACAAATAGGACATAAACATGGCAATTTTTGGCACTGAAGAGACTTTGACAACAAAGCAAATAACAGATTAGTACTTCTGAATAAAGACAAACCAATCATTAGCTGTAGTTCAGATCTGAACTGTTAATTATCAACCAACAGAACTTAGTTAAGCCACTGATTTCATAGGATTAAATAAAGAACTGATAAAAGTTTACATTTTATTAATTGCATTTAAAATACAACCACTAAAAGAACTTGAATGGAGTTAAATTTTTCTTTAACCAGTTATGGTCCAGACAAAATTATCTACCAACCAGCATTTCTGTATATCTGGGCTAGCAAAATCAGTTGTTGCATTTGTATTTTTCTGGCTTTAAATGATGAACTAAATACTAAATAGAAAAAAAAAAATATTATGATCAGTCACTTGTGTGGTTTTTACCAGATGTATGCATGTCTGGAAGCTTATTTCTGTTATCTTGATAAGAAAAAAACAAACACAGAGAGGAACAACTAACCATGACATCTTTAATAGGACCAGCTATCAGAAATAAAACTCATTTTGCAGAACGGTATAAGTAGCAGTTTTAACAAAAATGTCACTTTGCAGCAAGTCTACAGGTTTTAAGAGAAAAGATGAATCTTACCACAATAGGCAGGCCAATGTCTGGCCACAGAAGGTCATCTGAGGGAGGCTTTGGGGAATTCCACACCACCACTACCTTGTTAAGATATGGCAGCCCGTTCAGCCGCTCCAGAGAGTTCATCAGCACCTCCTCCCTCTCATACGTCAGCATGACCACTGTGAACTGCTCTCGAGGGACATTCCCTCCCAGAGCAGCTTGGAATTCTTTCCCAGAGCCCCCAGAGCCCCCACCAATAGGCCTGAAACCAGTTCCAGAGCCAAGGAATTTGGCTTCAGAGGGCAACACAGGGTCCAGAGGGGTGTGAGGAAACAAATGGAAGGGCCCCGGGGCCCTGTTCCAAGCTCTGTACGTGTCTGCAGCCGTGTATGTGAAGTTGCGAAGGAAGCGAGGAGAGGCATAGGGAGGCTCTGTTTCCACAGGACCCAGATCCAGATCCCCATTATCGGCCAGGTTGGCATCTGTTCCTGCCAGCTTCCCAGCTTTGTGGGGAATCTCCTGTGCGACCTCGTCTTTGATCGGAGCAGCGGGAACCTGAATGCGGGTTCTAACACTTGCAAGGATGGTGTTGAGAACGTTCTCTGAGGTTGAGAAGTAGGTCTCCCACAGAAAGCGACCTTGGCGCCTCATGGCGAGCATGTCATTGTCCGATAAGCTGCGCAAAAGGAAATGGAGCTCTGTGACACGTGGCTTAGGTACTATAATGGCAGCTTCAGTCCAGCGGATAAATTGGTGGTAAGGTAGTTTAGAGTGATCCCCCAACACAACAGGGATGGCTCCTACTTCCAGTGCTTCAAACAGCCTCATGCCGCAGCCTGCTGAGGCGACCAGCTGTCCGTCCCCTGGAGCGATCACCAGGGCAAAAGTAGAAGCCTTGAGCACCTCCAGTCTGTCCTCCCTTTCCCCACAAAGAGCCCATTCTGTCGGCAAACTTGGCTTTGGGTTCTTGCAGGTAAATTCCACCAGCACCTGGTCAAGGCGGCTATCCTGCACCGCCTTTAAAGTGCCAATTATACGATCATCAAAGTCGGCTGGAGGATCTCCCTCCAGCTCCTCCTCAAATGACTGTGGGGGGGCCTCCTGCAGGCTGCTCCTTAAAGACTCTACCCTTTCACCCTGGAAGGTGAAAAGGTACTTTCTCTTTATAGGAACCTGTGGTGGAACTTCCAAAAAGTTGGGTTCTGAGAGAGCATGAACCAGTGGGGAGACAACCAGGTCGAAGCCCTCACGGTACTGCTGCTCTAGAAAGCTTGACTGGGCGACCGCTGCTCTTCCTGTGCTGACATTATACAGGAAGTTCTGTGTCATGGACTTCCTGGAGAAATGCACCAGGAGGTGATTGTGTCCATCAGACCTCCAGTAGGGAAGAGCTTTCAGCTGCTTCTCCAGCTCTAGAGGAGATGGCAAAGGAGAAGATTCTATAATTTCTCCTATCAGTACCACATATAAACAGGCGATACTTGGGTTATCAGTTACATAAATATTGCTTTTGACAGATGCTGCAAAAGCCTGCTTTACCAGGGGGTCGAGATAAATGCCCCATGGATAAGTAGTTGTGTCGTAGACATAGACAGGGAATCCAGATGTAAGAGGACAGCGTGCGTAGTCGAAGCATGACCTCAGACGACAGGAACGCGCAGACTTTGGTGGCGGTAATCCTGGGTCCTCTTTGTCTGGTAGCAGTCGAACAGGCAAAGACAGCTTGGGCTGGTTCTGGGCCATTAGTTCTTTATAGGAATGTTCAGTCTGGCTAATTACATTTTTCAGCTGCAGCAGATCCTGCTTGGCACTGTCAATGCTGCGCTTGCAGGCCTCGATGCGTAGGTTGAGCCTGGCGATCTCCCCGTTAAGCTCCTGTCTTTTGGCCTCCAGCTGCAGCAGCTCCTCGCTGACCGACTCCCGGATGCGGCATAGGTCCTGCACGTGTTTGGCTTCGCATAGCTCGCCACCGGGGCGCGGCCCGAAGATGCGCTTGTCGGGTCCTCCTGCTTCATCGATGGTGGTGAGGTAGTAATGAGCAATGAGTGGGAAGAAGACCAGGATGAAGAAGAGCATGAAACTGAGCCACGTGAGACGCACCCGGCGCAGCACCCACGTCTGGCCTCCGACACCCACTCCACCACCGTTACGCTGCATTGTTGACCTGTCAGTCCTTTCCTTGCCCCACTAAGGAACCTTTTTTGTAAGGCGCTGCAGCCATAGTCGACCTTGTCAGCAAGGTGGTGGGACAGATGCTAAACCATTAAGTCTTCTCTAAAGGTCATCTGCTGATAGTCCAATAGCTGATGTGGGCTCTGGCTGAGCCTCACCTGTACTCTAAAATCTCCTCTGTATTGTAACTCAAAAATACTGATGCCATTTTCTGTCGAGAGGTTTAGCTGTCCTTCTGAACGTCTGCAATTAAAGGTTCAGTATGTCCAAAGGGTTCCTCTGTTGATGGACGAAGCCAGGAGGACATGATGACCATCTGATAACTCAGATGGGCTCATTTTCAGATCCCCGATCAGAAGAACCACGAGGAGCCAAATGTCTTCATTCTTGTTAAAAATGGAACCTGAAACAGACAGAAATGGGGTAAACTGATCAACAAGATTACTTAAAGGAAAAAAAACATAATCCTAATCCAATTATTGCCTTCACTCCTCAAAACTTGGTCACCTAACAGCAATTCTGGCTTCACGCACAAACTACACACCTCTTGCACACTGCCAATGTGCTGCAGAGATATTAATCATTATACAGCCCTGCTTGCTAACAGCTGTTACTGCTCGCAGTCTTTTCCTAAAGTCATTAATTTGTTAATGAACATGAGAACTTTTATATTTTCCCAGTTGATAGGATTCAAAAAAACTAGAAGAAAAAGTAAAGAATGGTTATTTAATGAACAGCTGCACACAGCTTTATAAAAAAAAAAAATCTTTAATATTGTATGTGATGAACCAACAAAGTAGCAAAAAATTGTTTCAAAAATAGCAAATTTTTTAAGCTTACTAAATAAAACTATGTGACATGCATGTATTTAGTGTCTATCATTTTGATACACCAAAGTAAAACCAGTGCAAACAACTGCTATCAGAGGCCTACAATTTATTAAACAACCCATTTGAATCTAATTTAGTCTTCAAAGGAAATACAAGTTTAAAGGTTTGTTCAAGACCATCATTGAGCAACATCATCAGAAGGTCACAAAAACGGTTTAGGGAGAGTGTTCTGTTAAATTGTACAGCAGTTCAGTAACAAAACCGCACCGAAAGCTTCATAAATGCCACTAAAAACTTCATTTATCAAGAATGTACATCTGAAGCTCAGTATTTGCTATCGTGTGTGAGATGTGGACTGTTTTTTTTCAAATGCATTTTGTTGCAAAATTCCTCACCTCGACTCAAATGAGAATAAAACTTTAGCTTTTAACATTGGATTAAGTATATAAGAGACAATTTACTGGATTATTCAATGTAATTAGGAATATGCAGCCTGAACTGAAGTAAAATTGCAAGATGAGGACAAAGAGAAAACGGTAGGAAACCAGTATGTATGAGATTTATGTTCATCCTAAGCAAAGCTTTCCAAAGTCAGCCAGAGGCTCTGCTGCTCGTCCTGTGCATGGCTGCCTACTGCAGAAGACAAATATCAGTGTCCTGAACAATACATGCCATCTCTGGTTTTCAATTAACTTTTCAATTTAATCTTTTTTCATGTAACACTGAGACGAAACTCTGGAGAGCCGTTGTTTGCAACTCACACCCAGCCAGCAAATTAACATCAAAAGCACCTTCAGCAAATCTCATTAATGGCCTCCTCCTGCATCCTGACCTCATCGTCGACTCAAATTACCAAGCACCCTTGATAAGAGTCCATCCTAGAGAGTGATGATTGCCTCAGGACCAGAAAAAGGCTCAGACATGCGGAAGGAAAAAAAGCTGCATCATCTGATGTAAAGTGTTGGACCATTATCAAAGTTCATCTCTGGGACAACAACTGAGGAGCTTTAACAATTTGCTATCCAGCGTATTCAATGAATTTTCAGAAAAGTCACCCCAAAACAAATAGTACAGGATACATTCATTTTAGCATCTTTTCAATTTGTAGGTTTTTCAAAAATGAGACACCATTAGCAAGAAATTATCCCAGACTCAAAGAGCCTTTTAAACATCTATTGAGACTTTTTAGATCATGAGTACAGAATATTATCGCAGATGATCATTTTTTCTGGACTGCTGGATGTTCTGCTAGACCTTAACTAAATCAAAAGCCTTAAATATGTCAACTGATGGGCGAAGTGACAAGCAGTGCTTAACTACATTACAAATCCAAAACACAATAAACAACCTTCATAGAGCTTTTTAGAGCTAGAAGACGAATGACAGAAGTCTTTATCTTCACTAAAATATCAGCTCTAGATACGCATAGGCAAGGCAAGGCAAATTTATTTGTATAGCACAATTCAGTACAAAGACATGCAAAGTGCTTTACATAATTAAAATATAGGAAAATAAAACAGAATCAAAGAAAGTAGGAAAAAATAAGAAAATAAATAAAAAATAAATGAATTTAAAAAAAATGCAGACTCCAACAATGATGTTTTTACAAACTTCTGTCAACCCTGTTGACTTTATAGGTCCCGGACCTATTTATTTATATATAGGTATATATAGTCCTCTCCTGAATCTTTGTTGCTTAAACTGTCTGAGTAGATCAGAGCAGAGATGGCAACAAAAAAAGACATTCTTTCTGAGTCAAATAAACCTCTCTGGTTGCTGCTCCCAACCCCATACTACAACTAGAGCCTAGGTCATTGTTCCTGTTTTCTTCTTGGACTTATTTTGGTATAACTGCAAAGGTCCAAAAACAAAACAAAGCAAGTTCCAAAATTGCATAATCCACATCAGGGTTCTTCAGGCTGTTTCAGTCCAGGACCCGAAATAAGGGGAAAGGAAGGTATTTGTTCATATAAACTTAAGCAACATTTAATTCCTAATCCATGGGGATGGTCTTCACTTTTTTAGGTGTAAGAGCTTCAGTTTTAAAGGAATATTTATAGAATTTTTTTTACCATTCTTCTAGAAACTGATAGGTAACGTCAGATTCTGATGTGGGACAAGAAGGTCTGGCTCTCAAGCTCCACTCTAATCCACCCCAAAGGTGTTCTGTTGATTTAAGGTCAGGACTCTGCAGGCTTAACAAGCAAATCCACAACAAAGTCTCGCTCAACAAAGTCAAAGTCTAGTAACTTCTGCATATTTAGACATGAACCTCCTGTATAACTCTGCATTGCAGATAAAGGGTTTTTGGACGAAGGTCAGCCTATAAACTTAACTCTTATGCTGAAAATAACGGTTCGGTTTCTCTGGCATAAAGGAGTCTGCATATGCAGTGCAAATTCACAGAGCAGATGACAGTTTGAATGCTGGCTTCCACCCCGCTGCTCGGTGATGTCCCTGTGCTGCAGAGAGACTAACTGGCAACTATCACAACACCCTGATTAATTAGCGCATGACTGCCAGAATTGGGGGCCTCATGGCAGGCAGATGTTGGCAGATTTGGACAGCAGGCCTAATCTGGAACCAAAAACATGTCGCCTTAAAGCTCTGCCTGTGGCTGCCTCCTGGGAAAACTGAGCAACATGCATAGATAAGCCAGAATCTCAATCTCTTTCGCGTCATCTCTTTAATCTGCAGAAAGTTTTCCCTCTGCTGCAAACGGCTTATTCTGGCTTGCATGGAGAACACACAGTGTAGCATTGATTGCCCTCAACTTACTTTGTAGGGATCAATGATAATGCCATCATTAACCTACCTCCAAGCTGGGAGGCATTTGGTGCCATAAAGGGAAGCTGATGGAGCTATTTTACTTGTAAGACTGAAGGGACTTTAAACATATATTGATAAGGGAGATAAAACATAACACGTCTTTAATGAAACTTTACGGACTAAACTTGTAATGACACCATGCTAGTTTACAGTAGTACCTGTAATTGCTGCAGCCAAAGTTATAGCCATGTGCTCTTACTTCACAGGGAACAGGAAAAGCTGCAGCAGACCATCATGACCCAAATAGGAGGGGGGAAAAGCATTTGCACCACATGAAAAGCACCAAGCAGGAAAAGTGTTGGTTGCTGCCATGAATAAATGAGCATGAATTACTGATTCAGTCAAGACTTCTGTTAAATTACTTCTATAGGAAATTCAGAGCAAGTACCCAAAATGGGAGCGGGGCCACAGAGTTAGGTTTGCAGTCACTGTAATACGCATTATGAGGGAATTTGAAAATAATAACCAAGAGGTCCAGATAAAGTGCATCATGACTGACAACAGCAGGTGCTTGGAACCGAGTGGGACTTTAATAGGGTGGGGGTTGCTGTCTCTGATTTCCTAGACATCAGATGACACGCTCTAGTATAAATGTTTGAAGAGTGTCTCTGCAAACAGTCAGCACTTTATGAGGCACTGCAAAATGATTTTTCTAAGAAACACACAGGGGACTCAACTTCTAGCTGCAAGTTTTTAAAAGCCCAGCAAGATAAATTTGAAGTTTAAACACCTAAAGATGAGTCTCAAAGCATTTTGCTTCTTCCCTCTTTGAGAAAGTAAAGAATCACTTCATAAAAAGGCAAATTCAAAGATAGAGAATTCATGATGCAGGATTTTTTCACCCAGGGCCAGGAAACCAAAGAAGAAAACTAATGATTAATCCCCCCACCTAAGATGCTCATGCATGATGATTACTGCCAAGTAGAGCCAAAGGTATTAGAGAAATAGCAACTAAAGCTAGAACAAAATGATATGTGTTTAATTTACCCTCTTCATAATCATATTAAATGAATTGTGTTTACCTCCCAAGCGCAAGTATTGATTATTTATAGCCGAACACGACTAAAGGGCAAACAAACACTCCTGCATCATAATGCTCAGATAAAGAAGTACGACTCATTAGATGTTTATCAGTCAACAGAAAGCTGTATATCTATTCCATTATTCATTTTTATCTATGCATAATATATCTATGGTTCAAGATTCAGCAGAAACGACTCACACAAAAGCTACAAATGTTTCCAGCAGAGGTGTAGTCAAAGTAGCAGTTTTTGGGGTTTTTTTTGGTTTTTTTTATCTGCAACTTGGATGTAGATCAAACTGACTAGTTTCTTTTTCAAGGTACAAAACTGTTATAAATCTGTTTTTTTTTTCTGAGGTGCAGATTCTGAATGGTGCAGAATAAGGTACTGCTTGTTAACAGGTGGATTCTCAAAAGAAAAAAGGTTTGGTCAGTTTAAAATAAATAAAGTCATCTGTTGGAATTTCTTCGAATATACCTTAACTTGCAGCATGTTAGTGACAAAATAAGATTACTAAAAATCATCAATATTCTCAGAAAAAAGGCAGAAAAGAGAAAACATTCTGTGCAATGAGGACTTTTTCTTCATCCTTATAATTATTTGTATCTGGTTTTAATTCACTGTCTTCTTAAACTTATTTTCCGTATAGACCCACACTTTAGCTCCTCTAAAAAGTCTTTAAATCATTTAATTTCAAATTGAAAAATTTAAAGTGGA